AGGTTCAGTGTTGAAGGCAACTCCGTTATTCTGTCACGAAGATAAGATATGATGAGACGCAAAACAGGCACTGACCAGATAAACAAATGAAACAGAACGAAGAGTCTTTAGGATCACAGCAAAAATACAGAAGAGACAAAACAAAACGAGTAACGGCTCTAAACACACTAACATCTGTCATGGGCCTGTGTTTTGAGTTTCTTGTGTTTCTATGTCATTTTGTGTTATGGTTTAAGGTTCATTTTGTAGTCCTGAGTTTCTTCTATGTTAGCTTTTTGCACATTTAGGCTCCCCTTGTGTCTTTGTCCTCTGTGTCCTCTCTGTGTTTATATGTGTTTGTGTGTCCTTGTCTCTTGTTTCCCTCTTCTCTTCCCATCCTTGTGTGTCATTCCACAGTTACATGTGTGTTTACCTGGAGCAAAGCCTGCAGCCTGGATGGTTCCCAGTCTCTCAGATAGAAGAGACAGTCTCTGGGATGATGGGCATGCAGTCCAGACACCGTGCACTGGTCCACTGCACAGGTCTGATGGGAAATAAGAAGAGAAAACGACAGCCATTTTTATTTTTCCCCTCAGTCTGCTCACGTAACACTGAAATTAGTAAAAATTAATAAAAAAAAGGAAACTGTGACCCTTCACTAAACACTAATACTGTTTTTAAAAGACAGGACATAAAAATGTGCAACTGAACTTCACACGTGATGAAATACACGCAAAACTAAATTGTAATAAAAACATCACTGGTTTCTGTTTATTGGAAAGATGTTGATGAACTTTTGCACCAAATACCAAAGAACTGAACAAACACCACAGCTGCCAACAGCTGTTTGTCACATGTGAAACAGCCAAAAACAAGAAAACAAATCTGTGCTGCATTCGTGTGTCATCAGTGGATTTATCTCGGAGCCTTTTCCAAAGCTGCTGATGTCAAAGGTTCCACCTCTGGAACAAGAAATGCTGCGGCCCAGATCAAACATGAGGATCACGCCTCGTCTGCATCGTTATGAAGTGCTTACTTTTGTTTCAGTCGTTCAAGATTTCACACAAAACAAATCAAAAACAGTGTTTTAATGATCACATGCTGCTCTCCTTTTTTAGGGATAATAATAATAACAGAAGTTGTACACGTGTTTTCACTCCCCACAGTCTGTGTGAAATGATCAGACGTGGACTGGTTCTTTTTCTACTTTACCTGACGACTCAAAGTGCTTTATAGAGCTAATTCACCCGTTTACACTCTAACGTGTACATCGGAGAGCAGCAGGGTCAGCACCTTGCATGCAGACTGTTGCAGCCAGGGACTAAACCAGCCTGAGCATTAGTAGATGACTACCCCACACCTCTCGGTCACACATGTATCCTAGCTAGAGTATCACATGGCTCAAATGACTCCTTGGAAAACGACACCATGAAGAGGACTGTATGTGACAGACTTACAGTGTGGAAAGGGTTGTTGCAGCCACTGCAAAACTGGTAACGACACTGTGAGCAGCAGAAATGCATGCAGCCTCCTTTAGACAGCGCATACTGAAAGCGACAGTTAGGACAAGCTAGAAGGAGGAAGGAGAGGACACACAGGCAGCATTACATTCAAGAAAACCATTTCAGTCTGACATAAATGAGTTGACTTTACTTGGTAACGTAGAACTTGTTACACAGTTAATGTTACGGATCTCAGCACCTTGCTCTGTAAGTTTATATGGCTGAGCTGCTTTGGCTCCTAAACGCTTTCATTTTGTAATAATAGCTTAAAGTTGAGTGTGGAATATTTAAGTGAGACCAGCTGACTCGTTTCAGCAGTGGCATCATGTTACAGCATCACACTCAAATGCAGGGAGCTCTTCAGAATAACACAAAGGCAAACTGGAGGTCTAGGTGTCATATACCTGTGGCAACAGACGGAGCACACCTGAATTCAAACAGAGGTGCGGCCCAATACCTTTGTTCATATACTGTAACCTTACTCGGTTACACAGCATTGACAGGAGGATAACAACGCATGCATAAATGTGCGTGTTTGTGTACTTACACAACAGACCTGTCTGAAACATACATAGACATCATGAGACATAGTTTGCAGAGCAGCAACACAACACAGAGTGCATTATGGGCTGTTCATAATCGTAATGCTAAGATAGAGATCAGCTGTGTGTTTGGTTTCAGATTTGTCCCACAGAAAGCTTCTCATGATGGGTTTTTGGCCATGGATGAAACAAACTTCACGATGAGTGAAAACAAATGAATATCATATGAAATTGCCTTTTATTTTTTCAATACAGTGACAGGCTGATGTCATCATATAGTAGTTATGATGCTTTAATGATAAAACGTTAAAGTTTGCTCTTGTTTTCTACTTTTATCAGAAAAACACCGGCAGAAGCTTGAGCTGAGTGTGGCAGCAGGGTTTCGTTTGTGGCTGCACTGCAGGAG